ATTTCTTTCCTCAGTGTCTTGAAGTATCTTATGCACAAGTCTTTCACCTTCTTAAATTTATTTTTGTGTTTTATTCTTTATGATTTTAGTGTAAATGGAATTGCTTTCCTGAGTACTTGGTTAATGCATAGAAATATAAGTAATATAATGATTTTGTATCCTGCAACTTTACAGAATGTGTTTATTCAATTCTAACAAGTGTCTCTGTGTGTGTGTGTGTGTGTGTGTGTGATCTTTAGGGTTTTCTGTATACAAAATCATGCCATCTGCAAGTAGAGGCAATTTTACTTCTTTCTTTCAAGTTTGAATACCTTTTATTTCTTTTTCTTGCTTAGTTGCTCTGGCATAAAATGGCAGGACTATGTTGAATAGAAGTGATGAGAATGGCCATTTTCCTTCGTTCCTGAAAGCTTTCAGTTTTTCACTCTTGAATTTAATGCTTGCTGTGGGCTTTTAAAATATGCATTTCATTTTGTTGAGGCAATTTTTTCTCTATTCCTAGCTCATTGAAAGTTTTTATCACAAAACATTGTTGGATTTTATCAAATGCTATTTAACGTCTGCATATATGATCATGTAGATTTTGTCCTTTATTTTGTTAATGTGTTATGTTACACTTGGTGATATTTGTTAAACTTAGCATTTCAGGTATAAATCCCCCTTGAATGTAGTGTAGTGTCCTTTTTATACGCTATTAAATTTGGTTTACTAGTATTCTTTTAGGATTTTTTCCTCTGTCTTCATCAGAGATATTGGTTTGTAGTTTTCTTTTGGTGTCTTTGTCTGGCCTTGGTATGAGAATAATGCTGGCCTCATAAAATTAGTTTGAAGACGTTCTCTTCACTTTAATTTTTGGCAAGAGATTAGAATGGATTGCCATTAATATTTTCTTTAGCTATTTAGTAACACGCACCAGTAAAGCTATCTGCTCCTAAGTTTTTTTGTTGAGAGGTATTTGATTATTAATTCAATATTTTTATTAGTTGTAAATCTCTTTATATTTTCTATATTTTCTGTGTTTTATGTCTCCAGGAATTTATTTTTTCTTTCTTATCTAATTTTTGATGTGTAATTTCTCATAGCAGTCTCTTATGATTGTTTTATTTTTCTAGCATCAATTGAATGTCTCCACATTCAGCTCTTGTTTTGTTTGAGTCTTTTCTCTTTTGCTTAGTCTAAAGTTTGTCAATTTTGCTTATCTTTCAAAAAGATCAACACTTAGTTGTGTTGATATAATTTTTTTCCCTATTCTTTATTTATTTCTTCTCTAATCTTTTTTCTTCTGCTGCTAACTTTGGCCTTAGTTTGTTTTTCTTTTTATAATTTTGTGAGGTGTAAAATAGGTTGTTTATCTGAGATAATTCTTTACTTTTTACTAGCATAATTATGTGATATTTATCAGTGTGTATTAAGAGCAAACAATGCCAGATGCTGCTAGTGACCATAAATTAGAGAAATAACCTCTGTTTTTTGAATATGGAAATAAAATTTACCCTACAAATGTAGATATTTATTACTAAACACTTCCCTCTTACTACTGTTCTTGCTGCATCTCATATTTTAGAATGTTTTGTTTTTGATTCTCTTTGTATCTAAATATTTTCTAATTTCCCTTTTGATTTCTTTGACAATTTAATTATTGAAAAGTTGTTAATATCCATATTTCTACAATTTTCTACTTTTCTCTTTGATACTAATTTCTAGTTTTATTCCATTGTAGTTAGAAAAAAAATTGGTATGATTTTAATTTTAAATTTATCAAGACCTGTTGCATGATGTAACATGTGATCTATCTTAGAAAATGTTCCATTTCTGTTTGAAAAGAGTATACATTCTGTTTTTATTGAGTGAAGTATTCTCTATGTGTCTGTTATGTTCAATTGGTCTATAATGTTGTTGAAGTCCTCTGTTTCCTCACTGATATTCTCTCTGGTTATTCTATTTATAATTGAAAGTGAGATATTATGACATCAGCCTACTATGGAGGGCTCACTGTAATACACTATTTTATATAAGAGACTTGAGCATCCTTGAATTTTGGTATCCATAGGGAGTCCTAGAACCATTGCTCACAGATACCAAGAGATGATTGTATTGTATTTCTCTGTATTTCTCTTTTCAGTTCTGTCTATGTTTGCTTTATAGCTTTTGGGTTTTTGAGATTGAGTGAATATATTGGGTTGTATATTCCTGGTGAATTCACTTAAAAATCATTCTATAATGTCTTTTTGCAACTTGAGACAGTTTTTTACTTAAACTATTTTTCTTTCTTTGACAAATAGGTTGCAAATTTTCCAAACTTTTATGCTCTGCTTCCCCTTTAAATATAACTTTCTACTTTAGGTCATGTCTTTGCTCTCATATCTGAGCACTGCAGGTTGGAAGCAACTTATATCCTTAATGCTTTACTGCTTAGAAATTTCTTCCATCAGATATTCTAAGTCATCACTCTTTAGTTCAAACTTCCACAGATCCCCTAGGGTGTGAACACAATGCAGCCAAGTACTTTGCTAAGGCATAAGAAGAGTGACTTTTGCTCCAGCTCCCAATAACTGTCATTTCCATTTGAGACCTTGTTAGCATGAACTTCATTGTCCATGTCACGATCTGCATTTTGGTCATAATCATTTATCCAGTTTCCAAGAAGTTTCAAACTTTCCCTCCTCTTCTTATCTTCTTCTGAGTCCTCCAAACTCTTGTAAGCTCTGCTCATTACCTAGTTCCAAAGTCAATTCCACATTTTCAGGTATCCTTATAGCAATGTCCCACTTCTTGGTAACAATTTTCTGTGTTAGGCCATTCTGGCATTCTTATACAAGAATACGTGAGACTGGGTAATTTCTCAAGTAAAGAGGTTTAATTGGCTCATGATTCTGCAAGCTGTACAAGCATGGCACTGGCATTCTCTCAGCTTCTGAGGAGACCTCAAGGAGCTTTTACTCTTGGCAGAAGTTAAAGCAGGAGCAGACACATCACATGTTGAGAGAAAGAGCAAGAGGGAGGCGAGGTGCCACACACTTTTTAAGCAATCAGATCTTCTGAGAACTCATTCACTATTGCAAGGACAGCACCAAGTAATGAAGGATCAACCCCCATGACCCAAACACCTCCCACCAGGCCCTACCTCCAACATTGGATATTACATTTCGGCATGAGATTTGAACAGAACAAATACCCAAACCATATCAGCCTCCAAGTCTTCACGAACTGGTATTATATAGGAGAAAACTTTCATCGTTCAACCCAGGCAGAGCTTCTGTCGGCCTCTCAAATTTTGATTCTTGTTTAAACTGCTATCTTTTTGTTAGGAACTTCCAGAATCTAGAGTATGTAGAGTCTCATGAGCACTTTTAGACAGTGGACAGAGAAGCCTGTCACTTGGTCAACTCCCAGAAAATTTTGATTATTTCACATGCTATACAATTTTTTGCCTTCCCAAGGAGAATTTGAAAACTGGAGTGTTTTCTTTATTTTTTGTTCGTTTGCTTGTTTGTTTGTTTGTTTCCTTTTGTTTTTTACCTCCTCACTCTGCATAGAACTGGGAGCAGGGAGGATCTGTGGCAAGTGCTCATTTGCTAATTTAAGCCACCATTTTTGCATTCTTTGTAGCCCATTGGAAGCAAGCATATGCCTAGCCCCAAGATAGGCAAGACAATGACCAGCTGCTGGAGTTGGACACAGAAAAGATGAAATGTTAGGTGTGTGGTCGAAATATTTTCCTCCCCATAGAGAAGCTGGAGTTAAGTTTTTGTTTTTAAGTTTTTTTAACTTGGTCACTCTGCCCTAAGCTATGGGCCAGGAGCTATGGAAATGCTTACATACTAGTTCAAGCTGCCATCTTTGTTTTCTGTAGCCTCCAAACGTCTGGTATGTGCTGGGTCCTGTCAACACTTCAAGATAGGTGATATAGAAGACAGTCGCAAGGGTAGTACCTAAAAAGTTACAATTTTGGATGTTCAGTCCCACTCTGTCTCTCCGCAGGGATAAGCTGGAGATGCGGTTTTCTTATATTCAATCTCTATTGAGCCAGGGAAAAGAGCTATTGCAAGTGTTCGCATACACTTTCAAATTTCTAGTTCTTCTTGAAGGCATGGTATTATAATGAGGAGAGGAACAGCAAAAAGGTGTCTCCAATCTTCTTAAAAGTGTCAGTGTAGCTAATATTGCACATTCCTGGGGTACAATGGCCTTGTGAACTAGTTTCTGGATTATTCACTAATGGAATTGATCTGCATATTATTGTTGAATCAGTATGTTCATGAAAGAAAAAAGGGTCCAGTCCTTCCTATTATGCTATCTTGCTGATAACTCAGATAGGCTTTCTTATTACTTAGATTGTTTACTTTATACTTGTTAAAAGAATGCATTTACCCTTGAGATATAGTATTTACAGAGTACTCTTATTCATGATTTAAAGAAAAATACGATTGAAATAAAATGGTTAAACTATCCTTAACATTTAGAGTCTTAACTCTTCAGGGTTACTTTTAAACTCATATTTTCTTATCCTCTGTGCTGTCAAGAGAGTTGGAAATACTTATTTCAGGCATGGTGGGAAGCCCCTGTATTGGCTCAGTGGATTTCTTGCAAACTGCTTACATTTCATTGCTGACCCTTTCTTGATTTTATTAGCTTATGCCAATAGACATTTTCAGACAACAATGAGATGTCATAGTTCTTCCATAGGTTGTTATTAAATGGTCTGCAAGCTTAAATGTCCAGTGATAGAAATTGTCCAGTCATGTAATCAGAAAAGCCATCAGTGCACACAAGCTCAGGCAATGACAACAATATCATGACTGATTCCTAGACAGTATCAGTTGCATTATGTCATCAAATGTTAGACTGATCCTAGTCTCAGAGATGACAAAAAATTAAAATAAAAAAAATCATGTCTTGGAATTGAGGAAATTTAGTTTACTTTCTTCATACCATTACTTCCCTGAAACTATTGTATTTCAAAATGATTTTTGACTGGCTTCTTTAATTATTTATTCTAGGCACTGTCAGGATAACTCCTAATGATTCTCGTTGGGTTGGAGCTTGGTGGCTTAATTTCCTTGTGTCTGGACTATTCTCCATTATTTCTTCCATACCATTCTTTTTCTTGCCCCAAACTCCAAATAAACCACAAAAAGAAAGAAAAGCTTCATTATCTTTGCCTGTGTTGGAAACAAATGATGGAAAGAGTCAAACAGCTAATTTGACCAGTCGAGGAAAAAATATTACCAAAAATGTGACTGGTAAGTATTTTACATTCATTGTCAATTTGGAGTTGTTAATCTCAATGAAAAGGAAGAGTGAGTATTCCAAAATAATAAAGCATACCCAACTCATCTGAAGTTGGCCTTCTTTTGCACTAAATTTAGATAAATTATTTTTCTAAAACTACTATTAAAGTTAACATATATATCTTGAGCACATAACAAGTGGAAGAGAATTAGGTTTGGGCTTTTTAGCAGGGAGAAACCAACCAAAGTTCACAAACATCCATTTTTTTATGAGCCAAGTACTATATATTAATTTTAATATTATATGGTCTAAACTGGGAGAGTTCAAAGAATTATAATATTTCATTTCTTCATTTATTCAACAAATGGTACCAGGAACTGTACTATGCCCTGGTAATAAAACATTACCTCTATTTTTCAAGAACCTAGTGGGCGATACTGAGAAATATATAGACAGTAGCAATATAGTGCCTTAAGTAACATGGTGAAATTAAACTTAACTATTCTCAGGAGAAGGAAATCAGGAGAAGTTTCTCCCTAGGTAATTAGAGTAATATTTCTTTTAGTAATTATCTATCTATCTATCTTATCTAAATATTCAAAATAAAGTGGAACCTAGGGTGGTAGTTAAGATAATTAGAGTTAGTAATGTAAATTGGGATGCATCAGCATTTGATAGTGCCTCCTCATTTGAATATAAGCCCTGGGACTAATGGAAAACCATTGAGTCAATAAACAAAGAGAATGACTTGGCAGCAGTCAGAGCAAGATATGTGAATCAGTGAGGTGTTGACAGCAGTTTTCAGATTAGAGAGAAATGGTGAAATAGTAAAAGCCAAAGCAGTGCAACACCTAAACCCTTGGCATCTTTTTCAAGTTTTCTTTAAAGTAAGATGACAAATTCTCCAGTGTAACCTACGTTCTTGCTTTCATCAGGTCTTTTACTTATTACTTTATTGTTATTTTCTCCTTTCTATCACACTAACCCAAGAGCAATGGTGTTCTGGTACTCTTTATATTGGCTCATAGCAGAGGACTGTTAAGTTTCAGCTACATTGATAGGTTGAAATTGTTCATGGCAAGAGAATTACCATGATTTATTACCATGAAATTGGGATATACTACAAGCAGAAGTTTGTTTCCTAAGAATCAGATGTTAAACATTTATGTTTTTCAAATTTAACGTTCACACTAAAAGTACTATACCAATAATTTTCATTTTGTATATGTTTCTACTCTACCAAATCAAATCTTCAAAAAATATTAGATTGTCTAAACCTATAAGGAGCAGGGTTGACTGTGATCCAAAAAGAACAGAGAGGATACTGAAGATGTAAAAAGAGGACTGTTGCAGACATAATCTCTATTATGAACAGTTTTTGTAGGAATGACCCTAATAAAGAGGATCTTAAGTATGTATCTATTAGGAATGGATAAAATAAGAACATATAGTCAGAAAAAAAATACTGAATTTATTCCGTATGCTCTTGAATAGAACTAAAACTGATTAGAAAGAAAAGATGATTTCAGTTCATTACAAAAACAGTGTGTAAACAATGAGAACTTTTCAAAAGTGGAGCAAATTGCTTCCTGAGGTACTCAGTTTAATGCCACTTAAGTTGTTTATTGATCCACTTATTAATGATATATAGTAGATCATGACCATACAGAAGTTTACACTGGATGACATCGAATTTCTCATCCTCAAAAATGCAATGATTGTGTGAATGTATATACTCCATTTCTGTTGAAGAAAGGCCACAACTGACTTATGATACTTACAAATCAGGGACGGTTCTTCATGACTGGGGAGACCTGTGGAGAGAAATGTGGCACTTTTGCCTAAGAATTTTAAATGGTTTTATTCCTACTCTACATTTTCTTACCTCTCCTTTTTTTCTCTTCTGTGTCTTTTCTCTAACTCCCTTTTCTCCAACTCCCTTTTCTCCTTATTTTAAACAGATGCAACTCTTTTGTAGCTGACATTAGATGGATGTCTTAGTTCTGACCATATCTAATGAAAATCTTTAGAGATTTAAATAGAGAAAAATATTTCAAAGCCCGTGTTCATCCATCTCTCAGTAACCATATCTTGGCTGTGTCTTGATAAACTCTGATACTTCCTACTGTTTTTCTAAGTAGTTCCTTCTACTTTTAACTCCTATTACAGCTAGTTGACCTGGTGATCACAGCTCCAAATGACATAATTTCTACCATGAACAGAAGTTAGAAGCTTGTTACCACAGCTGTTTGTAGGGATAGGTGGTTGTATTATTACTATTATAACACTACTTGGGACACATTATCTCCTGGCTGTTTTCCTTGTATCTTAAGACAGAGGGTTAATGATATTGCCAAATTTACTGAGAAAGTATGTTATGGTAGAAAAGCTGTATACTAGAGAAACAAGAGGTCTGAGTCCTCATACTAAATTAATCTTTAAGAATTTTGAACCTCAATGTTCTTATTTCTGTGAGTTTTGGATTATGCTGTCTTTACATTTCCATTTAATAGTTATATTTTTAATATAATATATAATTAAGTACTAAAAAATAAGAAACATCATATGTCTTTTTCACTTTTTTGTTTGTTTGTTTTTGGTTTGTTTGTTTGAGATGGAGTCTTGCTCTGTTGCCTAGGCTAGAGTGTAGTGTCACCATCTCAGCTCACTGCAACCTTTGCCTCTCGAGTTCAAGCGATTCTCCTGCCTCAGCCTACCGAGTAGCTGAGATTACAGGTGTGTACCATCATGATGGCTAAAATTTGTATTTTTAGTAGAGACGGGGTTTCACCATGTTGGCCAGGCTGGTCTCGAACTCCTGGCCCCAGGTGATATATCTGCCTCGGCCTCCCAAAGTGCTAGGATTACAGGAGTGAGCCACTGTGCCTGGCCTTCACTTTTGTTTTTTGAACAATTAGCATATTGTCTGGTACCCAGTTGAAAACCTAACATTTGTTGAATGAATGAATAAGTGAATTAATATGTTTGCAATAGTATTGTAAAGTACCCAGGATAACCAAATATTCAGTGAAGAAAGCAAGTTACAAAGCAGCAGTTATGTACGACCCTATTTGAGGGTAAAATAAACTCATAAATATTAATATTCGTATGGAAAATTTTGAAAGGATACATTTAAAAACTGTGAACAGCCTGTGGTATTGCAGGCTATTCTCACTCTTTGCATTGTGTGTTTATAGAATTTTAAATCTTACATGACTTACGTTCACAAGTTTTAGGTATAAATATATGTCTAAGTTACATTCAAATATTTTCTTTATTTTTACAATTTTATAGGTTTTTTCCGGTCTTTTAAAAGCATCCTTACTAATCCCCTGTATGTTGTATTTGTGCTTTTGACGGTATTACAAATAAGCAGCTATATTGGTGGTTTTACTTATGTCTTCAAATATGTAGAGCAAGAGTATGGTCAGCCTTCATCTAAGACTAACGTCTTATTGGGTAAGACATATTTTTTACTTGTGTGCTTAATAAGTGAAATACTACTAAGTACTGTATTCCAAGTGACATTTTATTGTAAAAGTGACTTTGTATTTTAGTAATACAAAATAACTATAATTTTCTTGTATTCTTTCTCAAATGCTATTAAACATATGAAACTTGTGATGTCATTATTGCTCTGCATTTGAAGTTGTATCTTATTTTAGATGAATTCCTGAAGAAAATGTTGCAAATAAATGGAAAATTTAGAGGTAATATCTGTATAATTGGAACTTATAATTTAGTGCTGAGATCCTGAGACAAACCCTTTTGTAATTATAATCATTATAATTCTATAATTTATGGACTTTGAAATCAAGACTCAGTTACTTACAAAAATATGACACTGATAGTTCCAGAGTATCAATTTAAATACATCAAAATATGCATAATTCAAAACAAATACCATATTTTACAGAGTATTTTTTGCTACAATATCTATTTTCAATGGCATATTTAGATGTGCTTATTAAGGAAAGTTTCCTTGTATTATTCTTCCCACAACTCTAGTATTGTAGACACATTATAGAAATTCAATAAATATATGATGAATTAAACAACTTATCATGTGGTATGTAACTAGGTCATAAGTAAACAAGAAAACGAATGTACTGAAGCAGGAGACCAAGCTTCCAGATAATCTCTTTACTGATCTCTTGGTAGATCTTAAAATCTAAAGATAATGTTTTGACTCCCAGTAACCTAGCCTGAGCTTTTTCCTAGAGAAGACTTCATCTTCAATAACTCTTACTAGACAATGATATGGAAAAGTTACAGGAGGGATTAAACATTATTAATCCTGTGTGTAGACCTATTTGTCAATTCAGGTTCTATATGTTTTTAAATAAATGACAAAGATATATTAATTATTCTATTGTTAAGCTCTGGGCAGATTTAGTGTGAATTATTGAGGGTTAGAACTCTATGTGAGAGAGATAAAAGGCTTTAGATGAATTTCCATAAGCAGAAAGATGGTGTTTTGTTGTTGTTCATTTCCAGAAAAACAAAATTGCCTCATAATCTGCTCCAACAAACAAATATCCTTAGCCACTGCCTTTTGCTATTGAGGGAACCAAACTGTCATCATTGGCAGGAACAAATTACATGGATCTCCTACCACCATCCTGCTCTGTCATTCTTCTTTTTAAAAAGTAATAAGATTGGCATTCTACTATAAAGACACATACACACATACGTTTATTGCAGCACTATTTACAATAGCAAAGACTTGGAACCAACCCAAATGACCATCAATGATAGACTGGATAAAGAAAATGTGGCACATATACACCATGGAATACTATGCAGCCATAAAAAATAAAGAGTTTATGTCCTTTGCGGGGCATGGGTGAAGCTGGAAACCATCATTCTCAGCAAACTAACACAGGAACAGAAAACCAAACACTGCATGTTCTCACTCACAAGTGGGAGTTGAACAATGAGAACACATGGACACAGGGAGGGAAACATCACACACCAGGCCTGTTGGGGGGTAGGGGGCAAGGGGAGGAAGAGCATTAGAACAAATACCTAATGCATCCAGGGGTTAAAACCTAGATGACAGGTTGATAGGTGTGGCAAACCAATGGCACATGCATGTGTATGTAACAAACATGCACGTCCTGCACATGTATCCCAGAACTTAAAGTGAAATTTTAAAAAGAAGTAATAATATTGAATAAATTTGATTGACATACACTGTGTTTCATCTATAAAGACATATCAGAAAACTTATATATGTTTACAACTTTTTTTCTTTTTTTTTCTAGGAATTGTAACTCTACCTATTTTTGCAAGTGGAATGTTTTTAGGAGGATATATCATTAAAAAATTCAAATTGAGCCCAATTGGAATTGCCAAATTCTCATTTTTTACTGCTGTCATGTCATTGTTCTTTTACCTATTATATTTTTTCATACTCTGTGAAAATAAATCAGTTGCCGGCCTAACCATGACCTATGATGGGTTTGTATATATCACTATATCAATTGCATAATACGTTAACCATCTAATTAAGAATCTCTGTATAAGTAATACAAGGCAGAAAACAATTTTAACTAAACTTTCTTTAAGTTAAGAGAAATTTCAATTTAAAATTTTTTTAAATATCTGTTTCTTAAGACCTCAAACACATTCTTTTATTCATCCATTAAAAAGAAGCAACATAGGTTGTAATAATAACTATTATTTATGTGGTACTTACAGTTAGTAGAGAGTACTTTTATCCTTATTTTATGAATGGGAAAAGTAAGGCTTAGAGAAATACATGGATTACACAGCTAGCATTGGTAAGATTCTAATTCAAATTTGGGGTTTTTTTAAGTCTAAAACTCTTAGTCTTAACCACCGCTGTAATCTTGGATGGATCACAAGAGTCACGTAAATGGCATTATCCAAAAATTACATGGATCTCCTACCACCATCCTGCTCTGTCATTCTTCTTTTTAAAAAGTAATAAGATTGGCATTCTACTATAAAGACACATACACACATACGTTTATTGCAGCACTATTTACAATAGCAAAGACTTGGAACCAACCCAAATGACCATCAATGATAGACTGGATAAAGAAAATGTGGCACATATACACCATGGAATACTATGCAGCCATAAAAAATAAAGAGTTTATGTCCTTTGCGGGGCATGGGTGAAGCTGGAAACCATCATTCTCAGCAAACTAACACAGGAACAGAAAACCAAACACTGCATGTTCTCACTCACAAGTGGGAGTTGAACAATGAGAACACATGGACACAGGGAGGGAAACATCACACACCAGGCCTGTTGGGGGGTAGGGGGCAAGGGGAGGAAGAGCATTAGAACAAATACCTAATGCATCCAGGGGTTAAAACCTAGATGACAGGTTGATAGGTGTGGCAAACCTCAATGGCACATGCATGTGTATGTAACAAACATGCACGTCCTGCACATGTATCCCAGAACTTAAAGTGAAATTTTAAAAAGAAGTAATAATATTGAATAAATTTGATTGACATACACTGTGTTTCATCTATAAAGACATATCAGAAAACTTATATATGTTTACAACTTTTTTTCTTTTTTTTTCTAGGAATTGTAACTCTACCTATTTTTGCAAGTGGAATGTTTTTAGGAGGATATATCATTAAAAAATTCAAATTGAGCCCAATTGGAATTGCCAAATTCTCATTTTTTACTGCTGTCATGTCATTGTTCTTTTACCTATTATATTTTTTCATACTCTGTGAAAATAAATCAGTTGCCGGCCTAACCATGACCTATGATGGGTTTGTATATATCACTATATCAATTGCATAATACGTTAACCATCTAATTAAGAATCTCTGTATAAGTAATACAAGGCAGAAAACAATTTTAACTAAACTTTCTTTAAGTTAAGAGAAATTTCAATTTAAAATTTTTTTAAATATCTGTTTCTTAAGACCTCAAACACATTCTTTTATTCATCCATTAAAAAGAAGCAACATAGGTTGTAATAATAACTATTATTTATGTGGTACTTACAGTTAGTAGAGAGTACTTTTATCCTTATTTTATGAATGGGAAAAGTAAGGCTTAGAGAAATACATGGATTACACAGCTAGCATTGGTAAGATTCTAATTCAAATTTAGGGTTTTTTTAAGTCTAAAACTCTTAGTCTTAACCACCGCTGTAATCTTGGATGGATCACAAGAGTCACGTAAATGGCATTATCCAAAAGTGACTAAACAACTTTTATCTACAGTTCATATTGATGTTTAACAACTGCCTTTACAAAAGAACGCTTTTAATGTTGTACCAAATTTTCTTTTTTGCAAGCTAATATTGTTTTTTCTGATATTATCTACATTGGAAGTAGCATTAAGAAATATTCTATATATAATTGCATATTAGACATTGAAGAATCTTTACTTTTCCACGAATACCATGTATAGCAAAGTATTTTTAGTGCAACAGTCTCCACCTCAAATCAAGGGCAAGAATGCTATGCAATTTTCTAATAATCTCCTGAATATAGTGCAGAAGTTCAAAACTATTTTTATAATAATACTAAGAGATTATTTGCCTTTTTATTCTCATGCTCTCCTGGCAGTATAGTGATATTTTCTAATGCTCCAAGGTATGTTGTTAATTCATCAATCTGACTGCTAACAATGTATGTGCTTATGTACTTTTGTGTATTAAAATTTTCTTAGTATTACTTTCTAATATACATGTCAAGAGATCAACTTAATTTAACAAAATCCCTTTGGAACAGGCCCTCAATCTTTTATAAGAGTGTGAAGGACTTCTGAGAACCAATATTTTTTTCCAAAAAAAAAACCCTGTGAAGTTGACATTATTATCTATGACTTACAAATGGCAAAACTGATTTTAGAAAGAAGTACCAGAACTAATATAAACACAGATGTGACTGATTGCAATATCTGGACTGGGTCATTGTCTTAGTCCATTTAGGCTGCAAAATTCCAGGTAGCTTATTAATACACAGAATTTTTCAAGATTCTAAAGGCTGGAACATGTAAAACCAAGGTGATGGCAGATCTGGTGTCTGGGGGGGCCCATTTCTTAATTCATAGATGGTACCTTCTCATTGTGTCGAGGCATGGTGGATGGAACAGGCAAAGGGTCAGTAATTCCATTCATGAGTACTCATCCTCATGACCTTATCACTTGCTAGAGGCCTGACTTCATAAAGTCTTCATATACGAGATTAGTTTTCAATCTATGAATTTGGGGGTCGCAAACATTCTGACTACAGTAGTCGTAAATCATTCTGCTTAACCACTCCAAGTAGTATTTCCTCAAGCAGAATATGCTTTTTAATAAAATTATTGATAATGTAATTTCTGAAGTATAAATCTTAGTTTTTCTTTTAAATTATGTGCTCATTCAAAGATAACACATCAATCCTCAATTATTATCAAACATTTGAAAGAAAATTGTTTTAATGTTTAAGCAGAAATGAATTATACAAAAAATATATTTTATAATTTTAGCTATGGCATAATCATATTTTATAATTTATAACCATTTTATAAAGGAAATCAGTATAAAGTGTACTATAGTTTTATTATAAAAATATACCCAGTTTTCCTAGCCTTTTTCTATTATTCTTGATTTTTCATTTTGTAGAGGCTCTGCTTTAAGCATGTCTGATTTTTTTCTTACACATTACAATAGAGATTTTTAAATTCAACCTAGTTAAATAGCATTAATAGACTCACAAGACTTTACAGTGAGCTGAGAGGAATGTCAGTCTAATGTCATCACCTTACTGAAGAGAAACTCAGTCTCAGAAAAAAGACGTAACTTATCTAATGTGAAATTTCTTGATAGAATTATAACAACTTCTTGTCTAAGTCTTACTTAATATCTTTGGTTTATTTTTACATTTTGCTTTTTCTAAGTCACAAGTCATGTCTTAGCAAAGATGGAGAGCATAAAATAAATAAGCACTAAAACAAACTTTGCCATTTCACATCATCAAAGCAAATTTCTTCATATAAAGAAAAATTCTTTATCTTCTCTTTTTCTTTTCCCTCTCTGCTTCCACTTCTTCCTTCTCCTCCCCTTCATCTTTTTCTTCTCTCACTCTCTCTTTTTGATATATGTCTATCATGTATTTCCAGAAATAATCCAGTGACATCTCATAGAGATGTACCATTTTCTTATTGCAACTCAGACTGCAATTGTGATGAAAGTCAATGGGAACCAGTCTGTGGAAACAATGGAATAACTTACATCTCACCTTGTCTAGCGGGTTGCAAATCTTCAAGTGGCAATAAAAAGTCTATAGTGAGTATTAGTTTTTACTTTCCTCTCCTTATTCAAAAGCAAGGATTAGATTGAACAATTTTTTACCAAATCTTTCTGTAACTGTAAACTGTAAGGATGCCATTTAAAAGATAAAAGAGAAAGTTTCCAATATTATCTGTTATTGTGATGGGTGTGATGTTGTATAAACAAAGTTTTATATAAAAGTCTGTTTAGGGCAAAATCAGGTTTTTCTGTTACTTGAATTCTAATTGGAGATCACTCCACTTTTTTCCTTTGAGATTATAAGACTATGATCTTTTAGAATTTGAATACCTTTAGAATATCTAAAAAGCACCTAATTTGACTGAAGCCTATAATTTTCATTACTTTATCCCTCAGAATTCAGGAAAATGTCCTGAGTTAACCCATTGTTAGCACTTCCTATCATACTAAGACAAAAATCAATATGCAATGTTATATTCAGATTCTGATCTGTTTAGCTCTGGGATCACTACCCTTTTTAATTTCTAAGAAATTAATCAAGGCTTCATGCTCACTTAACTGCCCTATTCTTGATTTTCTATTTTGATTTTTCCAAAACTGGAACTTCTACCCAAGATAATGTGGTATCCTGCTCACCTATTGCCAATATATCCCACAGAAATGTCATTTCTTTCTTCTCGCAAAACCTTTCTTTCCATGTGAACTATGGTTTTTCTCTAATCTCCTAGGTAGCTCCCTATCATTGGGAATGGGTTATGGTGTTTTCCACTCAACATCTCACAAAGTCGTGTAATGTTTTCCTAGGAAATTTTACTATTACCAACATTAGTGAAACAGTCAGCTACAATTATTGCTCTCGGCCACATCCTTCTGTGTTTGATTTTTAAACATTCTCCATCTACTCTTGCCCACAGATCTATCAACTGTAATATGTAAGGGCATGTAGAACTTTAAAGAATAAAGCATCCTGGACTTTTTGAAAATATTTAAGTGCAACTTTAATAAACTTACACAAATATGGCCCAAAGACTCTACTTAAACCTCACATCTCAGTCATGGCAATAATGGTTCTGTTGTTCAGTTGTTTCCTTTTCCTTTGCTATTTATTTTTACTTTGCTATTTTTTAAAAAATAATTCAACTCTTGTTCTAGGTAAAGGGGGTCCAAATGAAGATGTATTACATGGGTATCTTGTGATAAGCCGAGGTTTAGGGTACAATCGTTCCCATCTCCCAGGTAGGGGGCATAATACCCAATAAGTAGTTTTTTAGTACTTGCTCCTCTTTTTCTCTGTCCAGTCTAGTGGTCTGTAATATGTATTTTTCCTGTCTTTATATTCGTGTGTACCCAGTGATTAACTTCCACTTATAAGTGAGAATATGTGGCATCTGGTTTTCTGTTCCTATGTCAATTCACTTAAGTTAATGACCTCCAGCTGCATCCAGGCTGCTGCAAGGGACATTATTTCATTCGTTTTTGTGGCCATGTAGTATTCTATTGTCTGTATGTACCACATTGCTTCATTCAATTCACTGTTGATGGGCACCCAGGTTGAGACCATGTCTTTGCTATTGTAAATAATGCTGTGATGATCATATAAGTATATAAGTAGATGTGTTTTTGGTAGAAGAATTTATTTTCCTTTGGGTGTATACCCAGTAGTGGGATTGCTGAGTTGAATGGTAGTTCTGTTTAAGTTCTTTGAGAAATCTCAAAACTACTTTACACAGTAACTGAACTAATTTACATTCCTACCAACATAGGATAAGCGTGCTCTTTTTTTCTGCAGCCTTGCCAGAATATTTTTTTAACGTTTTAATAACAGCCATTCTGACTGGTATGAGATGGTATCTCCTTGGGATTTTGATTTACATTTTTCTGATGGTTAGTGATGTTAAACAGTTTCATGTGCTTGTTAGCTGCTTGTATGTCTTTCTTTGAGAAGTGTCTGTTCATGTCCTTCATCTACTTTTTAATTTTTTATTGTTTTTTGCTTGTTGAATTGTTCAAGTTTCTTATAGATTCTGGATATTAGTCCTGTGTTAGATGCATGATTTGCAAAGGTTTTCTCCTGTTCCATAGGTTGTCTGTTCACTCTGTTGATTATTTCTTTTGTTGTGCAGAAGCTCATTAGTTTAATTATATCCCACTTATCAATTTTTTGTGTGTTGCAATTGCTTTTGAGAACTTAGTCACAAATTTTTTGCAAGGCCGATATCCAGAATATTTTCTAGGTTTTCTTCAATGGCTTTTATAGTTTTAAGTTTTACATTTTAGTTTGTAGTACATCTTGAGTAAATTTTTTTTTATGAAAAGAAGGGGTCCAGTTTCATTTTTCTGCATACAGTTAGCCAGTTATTCCAGCACCATTTAATGAATAATGAGTACTTTCCCCATTGCATTTTTTTTTTTTTTTTTTGCTAACTTCATTGAAGATCAGGTGTGCGACAGGTTTTAGGTTTGCAACTTTGTTTCTGGGTTCTCTATTCTGTTCCTTTAGTCTATGTGCCTGTTTTTTGACCAGTACTATGCTGTTTGGTTACTATGGCCTTTTAGTATAGTTTGATATCAGGTAATGGAATGACTCTCACTTTGTTCCTTATGCTTAGGATTGCTTTGACTACTCAGTCTCTTTTTTCGTATTGAATTTTACAATAGTTTTATTCTAATTCAATGAAAAATGAATTAGAATGGAAAACAATGCTGGTTGTTTGATAAGAATACCATTGAACCTGTGGATTGCTTTGGGCAGTATAGACAGTTTAGTGGTAATTTTTCTACCAATCCATGAGAACAGAGTATTTTTCCACTTGTTGGTGTCGCCTATAATTTCTTTCATTGGGGTTTGTATTTATCCTAGTAGAGATCTTTCACTTCCTTGGTTTAAATGTATTCCTAGGTATTTAATTTATTGTGGTTATTCTAAATGGAATTGCATTCTTGATTTGGGTATCAGTTTAACTGTTATTGGTGTGTAGAAATGCTACTAAGTTTTGTCCATTGTTTTTGTATTCTGAAACTTTCTTAAACTATGTTATCAGTTCTAGGAGACTTTTGGCAGAGACTTTAAGGTTTTTGAGATATAGAATCATATCACAGTGCAGAGAGATAATATGAGTTCATTTCCTATTTTTCATGTTTTACTTCTCTCTCTTTCCTGATTGATCTGTCTAGGATTTCCAGTACTATGTTGAATAAGAGTGGTGAGAATGGGCATTCATGCTTTGTTCCTGTTCTTAAGAAGAATGCTTCCAGCTTTTGCCCATTTTATATGATGTTGGCTGTGGTTTTATCATAATGGCTCTTATTATTTTGAGCTATGCTCCTTCAATGCCCAGTCTGTTAAATAACTTTATCATAAAGCGATGGTGGATTTTACTGAAAGCTCTTTCTACATCTGTTGAAATGCTCATATACTGTTTATTCTAAATTCAATGTATGTAGTGAATCATTTATTGATTTGTGTATGCTTACATCTCAAAAATAAAACCTACTTGGTCATGATGAATTAACTTTTTGATGTGCTGCTGGATTCAGTTTGCTAGTGTTTTGTTGAGGAATTTTGCATCTATGTTCATCAGGGATATTGCCCTGTTGGTTTATTATTGTTGTTGTGTCTTGCTAGATTTTGGTACCAGGATGATTCTGGCTTCAATAAAATGAGTTAAGAAAGAATCGTTCTTCCTCAATTTTTCAGAATAATTTCAGTACAGTGGGTACTCGCTCTTTTTTGTATTTCCAGTAGAATTTGGCTATGAATGCATTTGGTCCAGGGCTTTTATTGATAGGCAGGTTTTTTCAGTACTGATTCAAATTTGGAACTCCATATTGGTGTTCAGGGTTTCACTTACTTCTTCATTCAGTCTTGGATGGTTGTGTGTTTCCAGGAGAATAAGAATGACCCAATTAATACATGGTCCCTCTTTGCACACTAGTGAAGGCCTGAAAGTGATGTAATATTAGAACCCTGAAAAGAACTCTGTCTACCACAAGACATAATCTACATTATACTGGCAATGACTATGCCATTTGGGGGCTACTGCAAAGGTTTTATTATTTATTTATTTTTTTTTTACTAAATCCTAGATAATGAACCATCACGTCTTAAAACAGTGTTCTTTGTACCAAAGCTTAGTTTTATTGACCACTACACTTGTTCCATAAAAAATTCTTCTATATTATTCCTGGTGAAAAAAAATAGTAAGAACTGTAAGTTTGGCAGAACTGTACTTGTATAGATTTAAATTCTTCTACAATTCTTCCTTCAATAATTGGTCTTTAGTATTAATAGATTCAAGGTGAGCTTCCCTTGAACTTTTGCCTAGATTTAGAACAGAATTTATTAAAGCCACCTATCTACATAAACTGTCCAACTGATTAAAAATCTGAAATCACTTGTTTCTACATTTTCCACTTCTGTGCTCTAAACACTAGTGGGGCATTCTGTTGTGTTTAATGTCTCTGGTAATAATATCATCTGTCATTATGTCCTTGGATTTTGTGTATGCCTGCTAAATTAAAATTTTAGCATCTCTACCTGCCTCTATTTTTCCTGAACTCAGTGCCATTTTCATGGGTGACTCCAGTTAAATTTTGATTCCCCCCAAACTGCTATATTATCTGAATTCTTTGGATAATTCCTTTTCAGGGCATGTCTCTGAAACTAAGAAATTGTCCAAAAGACCATCTCTGTTCTGCAGAGAGTAAAATGGAATGGAAAACAATTATTAAAGAGAATCTACAGAGATAAGAAAATTATATACAGAGTTCTAAACACTAACTTCTTTGTTTCTTAATTTTAAAATTAAGAATGAACTAAATGTCAATCATGAATTACATTTTCTTATATAGAAAGAAATCCAAAAAACTATTTTACATTTTATCTGTTAAGCAACTGTATTTTTAGAATCTTCGTAAACTGTAAATATATTAGTTTGAACAAGTGAGACTTCACTGGATATAATGCAATGTATTTGCAGCACTGTTGTGTCTTCCAAATTTCTTATGTCATATTTTATACACAACATTTCAGGTGTTTCATAACTGTAGTTGTTTGGAAGTAACTGGTCTCCAGAACAGAAATTACTCAGCCCATTTGGGTGAATGCCCAAGAAGTGATGCTTGTATAACGAAATTTTACTTTTTTGTTGCAATACAAGTCTTGAATTTATTTTTCTCTGCACTTGGAGGCACCTCATATTTCATGCTGATGGTTAAGTAAGTATGACTTTTAGAAACATTTTCATATGCATGAGACTATAAACACACCTAATGACCTAAAGATATGCATATTTTTACATAATATACTGGGATTCAAATTCATATTTTGTCAAATTTTAATTTTCTGAGAATTCATTTTATTAAAATTACTATGAACTCTCAAGGCCATAATTAATAATTTTGCCTCTAATTTTTCCATTAAAAGTCCAGATTCCATACTTTCTTCTCTTACTAAGAAGCTGATGACATAGACCGGCAATTGCCTCAGTTGTAAAAGGATCTCCCTAGGATTCTAAAAGAACCTTTTGAATTTTGAGTTGACTTGAATCCTAATGGGTCTGTCAGGGTAAATCTATTGATTTCACTAAAATAAAGCATTTGAAAACTAGATAGAAAATATGCTCCATTTGATAATAACATTCCAAAGTTTTTAATCCATGCACAGCATGACTTTTATAATATCCTTGTAGAAAAATAAGAAAATCCATAGAAGCATTCATTCCTTTCTTGGCTCATTAGAAAAGATACAATGCTTGATGAATATTACATGGTAAATGAAACCAATAAGATACTTGTTGTCGTACAACTTTCAAAATTACAGGAAAGACTGGTGTGAGATAAATAATCTTAAAATCAAAACATATTTATAAATTGTTCTGAGTGCTCATCAGGGAAAAGATTTCCCTAAAAAGAAAGATTCAAAAGGGAAAGTTAATTTAGGATTGAGTCGGGGGGCAGCTGTGAAGAAGAGGAATCAGAGTACATCTCAAAATAAGTAACATTTATTCTAAAGGTCTAAAGAAAAAGCTAAATCAAAGGGTTTCCGGGAGAAGGTCTGGGTGCTGACGCCTTAACACAGGAAAGAGCTGATGTGTTTGAGAAATGAAAAGAAGCTGGCAGATTGAAACATACTGAATGAGAGGTTGTGACACATGATAAGATTGGAGAGTTAGGCAGGGTACAGGTTAATGCATGTCCTACTGGCCAACTTGATTCAATCACCTAAAACTGATAAAACATGTAAATAATTGGTCTTAGATCTTAAAAATATATGTGTGTAAGTATAGTGACCTGGGTTAACATTCAACTGTACTTTTAAAACCTACACAGTTGATCACAAGTTCACTGTCAGCAAACAGCATGACATAGTAGAGATGAAAAAAGCAAAAGCATTTTAACATTTGTTAACATTAATATCAACTTGTAATTTGAATTTACAGTTGTTTAATTTTGACTCTCACTGCAAATCTTATCAAATTATTTATACTAAATATTCCACAGATATAGCTCCATCTCAATATAAAATGTTGTCTACTCAAAAGAAGTCTTTCATATTTGCCAAATTAAACTCATTAACATACTAAAAATACCTTAAAATTCAACAATAGTTTGCATATCAACAGGTTTTAGCTTTTTATTTTCAACTCATGAGTTTTAAAAAACACTGTTCCATCATTGATGATAACAATATCATATCTATTTCAGAAACTGATTAAATCAGCATTACAACTTGTCAAAAATATTTAACTCTCGCTAGCCTTTGATTTTATTGAAAGAAGCATTTTGTGAATATGACTACAGAATAAAAATATAAATTTCAGTTTGTTAATAATTTTCTAATGGTTAGACTGTGAAGCTATTTTTTAAACTTGATTAAGTGGGCAGAAGGACATCCATTTATTCAATATGTATTCATTTTGTGTGTCAGGCACAGTTGTATGCACTGAGGATGCAACTGTGAATGAAAGTGATAGAACTTTATTAGTTTTTAGTGTGGGTGGGGAATGAAGGAATGAATGTATGTAGCAGAAAAAACAATAAGCAAATAAGTGAGTAAATATACAGAGTAAGTGTGAAGCACTAGAAAGATAAATAAATCGGAATTAAGAAAATAGAAAAAAATGAGAAAATAGGTAAGAGATACTAGTTCAGATATTATGCGTTGAAAGTCCTTTGAGTGACCTGAATGAAGAGGTAGAAAAGCCATCTTGAAATCATGATGCATTGAATAAATAAGGTAATAATTGTTATTATTGCTGAAGTGTTTGCCTTTTAAAACAATTGAAATATAACTTTATACAATGGGGCCATTCAACTGAGAACTTAATTCTATCATGAAGAAAAACAACACAGGAGAAGGCTTTAATGTTGTTTCATTTTGATATTTTAATGATATTTAATGTTTCTTTGCCTTTATCTTGTTTCAGAATTGTTCAACCTGAATTGAAATCACTTGCACTGGGTTTCCACTCAATGGTTATACGAGCACTAGGTATGATGAAAAATGTATATATATATACACACACATATATTAAATTTAAGTTATAAATATAAATGTCAAGGCTTGAAGACTGAATGTAATTAATCTTTAATTGTGATAATAAATAAAATTAGTATCGTTTCTATTTTGTGATAAATAAAAACAATAAGAGATAGAGTAAAATTGAGTGACCTAAAAGAGAATTCGATTGTTAATTATACGTAAAGTTAATCTGTTAAGACTAAGGAATTATTGTATTTATATTACACTCTTTCAAACACAAAGGTAGATGGTCCTCCAAATTTTTCTTTTTTTAGAAAAATAAGAATATTTCCTCCCAGTAGGCAGAGTGAAGGGCCTAACTTCTAAACTGAGGCATGATTTAAGCAAGGCCTAAAGCTAGCTTGGGAAGCATGGGAATCTGGCCAGGCTATGGCCAAATTACAATGAAGAAATTGTCCAAGAGGCGTATTTGATGATAAAGTCACAAATCCTCCCAGTTAAAAAGAAGAAATATACAGGAAATAAAACAGAGGAGATGAGATGCTATAGTATTCCATTGGTTTTCTTCCCACCATTCCCTTTCGTGTGTCTCTAATCTCCCAGACTCTGTACATCCTGGCAGTTTTCTACCTTCAGATTCAATGGGGATGCCTCACTGCTAGAGCATGGGTGACAAAAGCTTAAAGTAACACCTGGGTTGTTAGTACTCCTTCTGATATGTAGAAATGAGACCAAGAGAATGCAGTAAAAATTTTTTTTAGCAATAGAAAATAGGAAAAAAAATGAGTTTCACCATACTAATTCTGGGTATCCTATTTCGATGTATCCAATCTGTGGCACGATGGAACCTAATGCACCTATGGAAAAAATACGCATTTAGTACAGAACTTCCACTTCACAAACAATTGTCTTGAATGCAATAAACGTGTAAATTGTGGAAGGTCTATATAGTGAAAAAGTCATTTAGAAAATAGGTTATGAGTTTTAAAATTGTAGTGATTAGGACCAAATTTGTTACTTAAAACAATCCATTACATTTGTTCAAATCAGTGGCATTATGTGGGGAAAATAAATTGTTAGCATTTATTTTTCATTTTCCAAAGAGTGGCTGTGATTTTTGAAACCTGAAAATTTCTCATCCATTTCCTCAGTACCAGGTTTTTTCAGATACATTAGCCTCAGTCCCTTGTCATTTTAAGATTTCTCACTCTCAAAAAATTAAGACTGATGAAAACTAAATGGAATAAGTAAAATTGTGATACATCAATCACTGTCATTTTTTCCATGACAAAATAAACTCTGAAAATTATTCACCACAATACAAAAAAAGAACAAAGTAAAGTTATGAATACTTCAGTTGCACCGTCTGAAGGATAGTTCTCTACTGGCATGTCCCTAAAATTCTTTATCAAATTACCTTTGCCTAGAACCAGGAGTCAATCTCAGAGTTCATTCAAACAGCAGTGGAAGCAGCTGGACACTTATTATATAAACAGTTTATTATATAAACAGCATATCTGTCCGTGCATTCTGCAAAATCATGAGCTCCAAATAAAAATTAACCAAAAAAAAAAGACCACTGAAAACTTATGCATCATTGTGATCAGAACACTGACACAAACAAAATTTAGTACCACAATCCCCTAACTTAGCCTAAGCTGCTTCAGGAGGTATTTACAAATGCACAAAATCAATTAGTAGAAAATCACTGGACTATGACCTCTAATGACATCAGTAAGTGGGAATTAGACATCTGAGCCCAGAAAAAAAGTACAGCCTGCCAAAAGCTAAGCACTCCCTGAAGCTCAGCCTATACTTATCTGGGGAGGGAGTTCTGATTAAGCACTCACTTTTAAATTCTCTTAAAATAGTGTTAAAAAAAAAAATAAAAGTCTGCCTTTACAGCAGTTGAGCCAAGATCTTTTTCCTTTCCCTATAAAATTGTAATTCCACTCAATTTCAGGTTTCTTTGCCTGAGAAAAATCCTGTATTAACCAACATAACTTCCCAGTTTTACTAACAACATTCTCCTTTTTTACCATTCAGGCTTAAGTTAATTGCTACCATAAGAACAGAGTGTACAGGCATGTATGTAGGGAGGGTACAAGTGGGTAGAAGGCATCAATGACATTACTACATGATTCGGGTCTTTGAGATTTCAAATAACCTTTATTATTGGGTAGATGCAGAACAAAATAATAAATAAATCCTCCAAATTTTTAAACGTTTATTTAATCAAAATGTATCAATGTGGAATATCATACAGTTACATTTAAAATATGTTCCCTGGACTGACATCTTCTCTTCTCCTATTACAGGAGGAATTCTAGCTCCAATATATTTTGGGGCTCTGATTGATACAACATGTATGAAGTGGTCCACCAACAACTGTGGCACACGTGGGTCATGTAGGATATATAATTCCACATTATTTTCGTAAGTTGTCATAAATATATTTCATTAATTTCTCTTTGACTATATTAATTCCTAAAGAATATCATTTTCATTATATAATAATATTAATAATGATAGCCACCATTTAATGGAAACTTACTTTGCAGGCACTATGGTATCAAGCAATCTGGTATCTCATTTTAGTACTCATAGAAACTATAGGACATGGATATTTTCTTCTATTCTGTTATATGTGAAGAAACTATGATTCAAGGATAATAACCAACTTGTCAAAAATTAAAGATAATAGAAAATGGCTAGGATTTGTATGTGAATGTTTTTTGTTTCCAAAACTCTCTTCATGTTAGTATATATAAGGATAAATATGCACATGTAAATATATATATGTGTGTGTGTGTGTGTGTGCATGTGTGTTTGTGTGTATTCAATTGCCTCTGACTTCTCTAGAAAGACACAGAATGACTAGCTTGGGCTCTGGATATATGTCAATTAAGAAATAAAGGAAAATATGTTTCTATATTACTCTATTCACAGGGAGAGATATTCCATAAGTGACACGAAGATAACTGCATGGGCATCTGGAAAAACAAAACGCTACAATTATACTTTACCTCTTTAAAAAAACTAATTTCAAATTCATATATTGACAAATTATACACTTTGAAATGTGAAACTATATGTATTAAAACTCATAGTATAATTTCTTTCAATTATCTACGAAGCAGAAACTAAGTATGACCCAAATGCCCAGAACTACAATAGAAAAAAAAGACAAAATGTTTATAACATCTGCATCATTAAACTTTTAAAAGCAAATTTCAAAGTGAAAATATAAATTAGGAGAATAATTTGCAACTTGTGACACAGACACAGGCAAATATCCTAACTATATAAGGAACTCTTAAAAATCAGCAAAAACAGCATCCAATGCTGGCAAAGATGCAAAACAACAAGAATTTCCTTTCATTTTTCTTTCATTGCTGGTGAAAATGTAAAAAATAATAGAGCCATGGTAGAAGACAGTCTGGAATTTCTTACAAAGGAAAACATGGGCTTATGATATGGTTAAGTAATCATGCACCTAAGTATTTACCTAAGTTAGATGAAAACATGTCGCCACAAAAACCTGCACTTGAATATGAAAAAATGGAAGCCAACAAGATGTCTTTCAATAGGTGAAAGGAGAGCCAAACTGGGGTACATTCACACAATAGAAAATTATTCAACAATAAAAAGAAGTGACCTGTCAACCTACAAAAAGACAAGAAAGAAACTAAAGGCGTGTAGCTAAGTGAAAGAAGGCAGTCTAAAGAAGCTTCTGGGCCTGGTGTGGTGGCCCATGCCTGTAATCCAGGCACTTTGGGAGGCCGAGGTGGGAGGATCCATGAGACTAGGATTTCAAGACCAGCCTGTACAACATGGCAAAACGCTGTCTCCACTAAAAATACAAAAATTAGCCAGGCACGGTGGTGCACATCTGTAATTTCAACTACTTGGAAGGCTAAAGCACAAGAATCCCTTGAACCCAGGAGGCAGAGGTTACAGTACACCAAGATCATGCCACTCCTCTCCAGCCTGGCTGACAGAGCGAGACTCTGTCTCAAAAAAAAGAAAAAAAAAATTAACAAAAATTAAAGAAGCTTCTAACTATATGACCTTTTGTAAAAGGCCAAACTGTGAAGACAATGAAAGATCAGTGGTTGCTTGGAGCTCAGTGGGGAGAAGACAGGGATGAGTAGGTGGAGCACAGGGCATTTTAAGGGTGGTGAAATGATTTTATATGATTTTATAATGGTGGATACATGATGTTATGTATTTGTCAAACCTGTGGATCCATATACATACCACATACAAACCACATAAAAAGCAAACTAATCTAAAATATGAACTTAATAATAATGCATTCATATCAGTTCATCAATTGTAACAAAGTTACCACACTAATATAAAATAATACAAACTATTAATGATAAGGGAAACTGTGTGTGTGAGGCGGGGAGTATACGGGACTTCTTCATACTTTCTATGCAGTTTTTCTGTAAATCTGAAATTTCTGTAAAAAGTAGGTTCTATTAAAAAAATCAAATATCTCCCAAAGAAAATAATCACTAATGGCTATTAAATATATAAAAAGATGCTCAAATTAATTGATAATGACAGGATTGCTATTAAAACTCACCCAGATTTTCAACAATCAAAAATGTTAAGTAGACATTGTATTGGCAAAAGTACAGAACTTTGAGCTAGCAGCAAACTTCTAGAAATTTATCCTACAGATAGCTATACTCCCAAATAGATAAAATGGCACATATATAAGATTACATACATATGTATGGCAACATTGTTTATGATGGCAAAATATTGGAAGCAACTTAAATATCTCTTGATAAGGGAGTCATTAAATAAATAGTTCTACAGTTCTACTTGCAGGAAAATGAATAGTCTGATGTCTTGAAAAAAGAAGAAAAAATTATTTGTTTACTAATGTGGAACCTTCTTCAAGACATATTTTTATATGAAAAAAAAGAACCATGAAGAATGTGTATGGAACATGCTATCATTTATATGAAAGTGGAGGAAGTTTATTAGTTCAGGATACATCTCTGTAGTAAAGACCTAGGATCAAATTTACCAAAAAGACTTCCTTCCATTTAATGTGTAAATTCACTATCTAAAATCCCCAATGGATAAAATGATCCAGCTTTTTCCAGAATTGTACCCCATAGGCATTCTCATAAATTTATTTAAATAGTAATGATAGAAAATTTCTCACAAAATGAGAGAAAGAAATGAAAGGAGATTACAAATGAAAACTTCATATATTTATCTTAATGACTTTTTTTAAGAATGTGTTCATTTTTTATTGAAATCATCATTTATTTCCAGAACACCTGGTAAGATGCTCCTCAGAATTTCCCCAAAGCAATGACCACAACTTCAAGTATTCATGTAACATTTTGAGATGGCTTTATAATGGTTTGAGTATAAAAAGACCCTAAAACTATTTTTAAGCCATACTAGTTCCTTTTTGTTCAGTGAAGATTTAGTTAGAACTAAAGTGAAATTTTTAAATTTTTTATGTTAATTGATTGATTAATGCATTCTTCTTGTTGAATAACTGTTATAGTATGCAAATTTTTAATATACTGCAAAGACCATTGTGATAACATTAGTGTATATGTGTGCTATATATATTTAATATGCATATATATGCATATATAAGATAGATATATAGTATATATGTTATTCTTATGTACTTTAATTTATGCTCATCCCAAGACATTAAGATTTAAAGGGTCAGTCTTTGTACATCTTGACATATTTATCATTTTATTTTCTCTGATTTCTTCTTGCATGTCTACAAAATGTCTCAAGTACTGATCTTAGGTTTTACAATAGTGATGTTATCTTCAGGAGCAATTTGGGTAGGGTCAGAATCTTGCAGCCTTCAACTACATGGCTCCTAAATCATAATTTCTAATATTCTGGCTAATTTGTTAGTTCTGCAAAGGCAGTCTAGTCCCCAGGCAAGAAGGGGCTTGTTTTAGAGAAGGGATTTTATTGTTTCTTTTTTCAATCTCTGTAATATAAACGAAGTTCTTCCCAGAGTCAGTAGCAAAAGGAATAATTATTTGTCATATAGGTTCTTTTATAAAATTGGCTATGTTGAAACTTTATTCTATAAGGAACATTATATTCTAATTTTAAAGCCTTGAAGTCCCACAGGTTTTCTGTACAGTGTTCCTGATCTGTGATTTTGTGCCATCACATACCTGTAGGAGTTGGGTAATTTTTCCTCCTCTCAAGGTCCCAAGATAAAATGTGCCAAGAAGAAAGGGGCATTCTTATCACAGGTCAGGAACACTGTACAGAGAATGCGTAGACAAGATATAAGGCCAGCTTTTCCCAGGGGCTTTTATTGGATCTATAAGTCAACTTCTATTCCTCAAAGAAAGTATTCCATTCCAGTTAAAGCCTTGGTAAAATGACCAGTTTATCCAGTTAGGTCCTGTTATAAGAAAAAACATATTCTTATTGCACTTATGCAAAGAAGTATACTGCCATAAGTTGAGAATACTCACAAATAGTTTTTAAATTCTGGAGAAATTAGTTAGAGGGAAAGCAATATGCTCCAAAGTTTACTCCCAGGAGCATACTTTACTCAATTGCTAAAAGTTGTAAATACTCAAAATAAAAAGGTTTATTGACTCTGAAAAACAAATGAATTAGCAATGTTTAACATCTCAGCTCTCTGTGAGAGTCCTAGAAGTTTGTGTTTTTTCCTTCTATTCCAATAGCACAATTTCTAAAGTTATCAGGGGCCTGCATTCAAGAGTACCTGTCAGAGTCCTCTATCTGATTCTAAACTGCCTTTTGAAAAGGATCAAAACAAAATAATTGTCTGTGGATAAAAAACTTAAGAAAGCCACTATTAAAACCACAGTTCACTAGGAATTTTGTTAATTCTGTGACATACAACAATTTTACATAACAATTTTAATTATGAATAACACTAAGTCGTATCAGAATTTTAGGAGTTTCCCATTATTTTGGAACATATACTAATAACTTATTTATACAAATAGAGTACAAAGAAAGTCAAACACCGTTTAATATTTGGCAGTGCTTCCTGTATGATTTTTGTGCTAAATAAAACAAATATGCGATTTTTAGACTTTAGTAAACCTAATATCTAAACAATTAATTAGGTCAGAAAAAGACATACTCATAACTTATAATTTAATTTTGGAAAGTTTGTCAAATATCAAAGATTTAAAACACTGGGTATCACAAAATAGGATCACAGGTTATTTATTTAGTCAAAGTGGTAACTCAAAAAAATTTTAAAAAGACAAAAACCTGCACTCATTGATATAGGAGAGAATTATCTTTCTAAACAACAAGACGTAATAAAAACAGCATAAGGCCACCTGAATGTGTTTCTTACCTCTCCCCTCTTCCCTTTTTCCTGTCGTTTTCCCAAAGAGACAAACAAAATCCTTTCATTATCTTTTAATATT